GTAGTAGTAGTAGAAGTAGCAGTAGTCGTAGTAGTAGTAGTAGTAGCAGAAGAAAGTAGTAGTAGCAGCAGTAATAATAATGATAGTAGCAGTAGTAGTGAGAGGGTAGCAGTAGCAGTAGCAGTAGCAGTGGTGGTAGCAGTAGCAGCAGCAGCAGCAGCAGTGGCAGTAGCCGTAGCAGCCGTCCTCGTCACAGTAATAATAGACATAATCGCGGGAGCCGGAGTCGTCGTCGTCCTCGTCGTCCTCGTCGTCGTCGTCGTCGGCGTCGTCGTCGTCGTGCAGTAGTAGTAGTAGTAGTAGTAGTAGTAGTAGTAGTAGTAGTAGTAGTAGTAGTTCAACACCACCACCACCGACACCAGCATAAAAATTCATCATCCTGTACATGTTCACCAGATGCCATCGCAAGCTCCGTCAACACCTAGCCGTCGCCGTCGCCATCATCAACATCATCATCATCAATGCAATATTGCCAGCTTTCTCTGCGACAAATGTTAACATGTAACAACTCATTCATCCGCTTCATCCTGCCACACCTCGTTCGCTCAACTCGAAAATTTAATACTTCTTTCCTCGGGTCATTTTCATTCACTCGCTCACTCACTTAGTCAGTCAGTCAGGCAGTCAGTCAGCCAGCCAGCCAGGCAGTCAGCCAGCCAGGCAGGATAGACTCATTCCGAAGGTCCATGCTGCCTTCAGTCCTTCTCGTGGAAACTTGGCATGGTCATCCACCATCACCAGAACTATTGTCTTCAGGCGATCATCACCACCACTAATTATCATGCTCATCATACTGTTCATCTTTCTCATCGATATCTGGTCTCACATCATCGTCGTGGAAGCTACGATGGAGCCGCACAGCTGCCTGAAGCAGCTCGTTCGGCAGCATCGATGCATCTATGCCAAAGTCCTCTGCTCCAGCACATAGCAACCATGATAAAGCATTCAAGCAGACAGAGACAAAAGGAAACACGAATCGCCATCCTAAACTTGGTCCTCGATTTGCGATACGCCATCGGCAACTCCGAGTACGAGAGGCACTGTCAAGCAGGCATCCGCATCCTGGCAACGCGCCACTCCTAATGCTTTGCACCTGCTTATACCGCTGAACTGCTGCTTGGAGTTTCTGGGACGACTTTAGGGCATCGCACACAGCCACCGCCCGCGGCGCCTTGTGCCCCTTCTGGGCTTTCACGGGATGCGTCTTCTGGTAAGAGCAGGCGTTGAAGCACAGCGGCTTGTTCTTGTGGTACGCCTGCGCTTTCTTTGCCAAAAAGAACCAACTGGCTTAGGCACAGCCAACAAGCACAGCAACAACTCCTCTGCAATTTTAAGCATTTGTTCACACAGACTGCTCAGACTAGCAAGCAAGCGCAGCGGCCTGTGAAAAATCGGAGCTGCGCAACGACAATCACACGCAGAGACGGTAGCCACAGCCGTGATTGTTGGCGAATGATACTGTGATTTTCTGCTACAGTGCGCTCTCACAGTTGCAGTCGCCTTCGACTTCGTGCTGGTTGACACCGCAAGAAGAGTCGCTTTAGTCAGAGTGCAAGTCCCGATGTGCTAGTGGCGGTAGCAATGAGAGTCCTGGTGGCATGGGTGCTCGTTGCGACTTGGCGGTCTGGTGGTGGCCTGGTGGTGACAAGTCGCGCTTGCTTCGTGCTCTGGTTGTGCTCTGCTCGGCTGGTGCTCTGAACGGGGCAACAGCAGTTCTACGGTGGCTTTAAACGACGACGAGGGCCAACAAGAGGCAAAAGAGGAGGAACATTAGCAGCAAAGAGGGAGTGCAGGGCATACACTCACCACCGTTTCATCATGGGAGGACAACAATGCTGCAAAGGCCGTGTCGCATGTCGATTTGTAGGGCCAGCTCGCCCTAAACCTTAAACCCTAAACCCTAAGCCTAAAACCCCGGATCCTCTAATTTACATGGATTTGCAGCAGCTCTGCAGGCAGTACCAATCTTGTGCGCGCAACATCAAAACCCCCAAATCTCGAAGTAATATTCAGTCACGTCACTCTAAGTTTTTGTAGCTGAAGACTGATATAGGTTAATATGTAGTATATCACGTACTATCAGCCTCACGCGCTCTGCAGATCTACGAAGAAGCTCCCAGCTCTCGGGTGGGGAACCATCAGTCCCTCAGGGGGGGAAACCCCCTGGAGGAACGGGTGGGTGAGCAGGTTCTCTGGAAACCGGAGGCAAAGCCGTGTTTGCTACTGTACACAGGGTTTCAGGCGTTCAAAAAAAATGGGTCCTACGAAGCTTTTTGAATTACTGAGGACTCCCTGGCCGAGTCGAGCTCGCCAAAGAATGTTTTTTGGACTCGCGACTCATAACTGATATATCAAAACCAGACAAGCTCACTCCGTTCGCACCGTCTAGCAGGTCCAACATGAGGCGTGACATCATGTTTGTACTAAAGTCGATGGTGGTATTGCCAGGTGGCAGCTGCGGCAGCCCTCGGCGTTGGAAGCGGGAGTGGCACCAGCAGTAATGGCAGTAGCAGCAACGGTTGTAGGACAGTGGTGTGAATGGTGCTACTGGTGGTAGCAGTGGTAACGGCACTACTGGTGGTAGAAGTGGTATCGGTGGTCATGGTGGTAGCGGTAGTGGTGGCGGCCGTAATCTTTGAAAGTTAGCAGTACCGGCGGCAGTGGTGGCAGCTGCGATTATGATGATGATGATGATGATGATGATGGTGGTCGCCTCTGTGCTGTCGCTGGTCGTTGCGGTCGCGGTTGTTCCGTCGTTGCGACAGCTGATGCGGCAAGAGAAGAGTAGGATCAGAAGCTAGGGAAGATGCAGCAACGACAGCAGAGACAGCAGCTGCAGTAAGAGCTTTAGCCTTAGCATCTGACATCAAGACTGCACAGCACCACGCTTCTATGAGAGATGCATCACCTCTGCCAGCTGCTGCTCCCGGCGCTTGAACTCGTCCAAGTTCTTCCTTTGCCTCTCGGGAGATTTCCCATTCCCCTTCCAGATCTCGAGTTGGGTCTCTCATGCTACAGTGGCTCTGCTGCACTCGGCCTTTCTGCTCCGACCAAGAAGGTCGGCGAGCGCAGCATTCCATCTGTCAGGGAAGATCAAAAGTTCCGTAAGTCTTTGGTTTGGGGCTTGGGGTTTGGGGCCTGGAGTTTAGGGTTTTGGGTTTCGGGTCCTACCGGAGCCCTTGCCTGTCATGGTTCCTCTTCGCCCGGCCCCCAGGCCAAGGCACCGCCTGCGACGGATTCCCCTCCTGGCGGCTGGACCCGCTCCGCCAAAGCCAAATTGCTGCGGGCAGCGTCGTAGCTCAGGTTGACATCGGCGCATGAACTCCACACCCTGCACATCTACACCCCAAAAAGCAAAGGACCATGGCCTGACCAGCTGTGGAAGCCATGGGGTCACTGCTGGGTATGGGCCTGGCTATCACTTCGTCTTTGAGCGTGTGGAGGAACCACAGGCAACTGGCGGAATAAGGCGCGGACGCTGACAGCGTGACGAGGTACTGCAGCTTGGGTGCAATATCTAGAGCGTGAACACCATACCTATCAGCCCAAGCGAATCCTATCCGATTTAAGCGACACTTCGCGCGAACGTACACGTCCCCCTGAGCGCACGGATGCGGATTGAAGAAGGTCTTGACCGGTGTTCCAGACCTTGTCAGGGAAGCCCTGTACGGTACAGATAACAAAGAAGCCAGAACGAAGGATGAGTGCAAGATCTCTGGACTAGACTGCTGTGATCCTCAGACTGGTGCTCACGCTCCCAAACGACCATCATGCTGTCTGGACCGGTGTCTGCGGTCACAATCCACTTCTTGTCCTGCGCAAAAATCACAGCAAACAATTGGTACCTCCTGGTGTCCAGGCATTTACCTTCGAGACAGCTGTGGCCGAGATTGGATTCACGTGGCCCTGCAGCAGCCGCTGGACCTGCCAAACAACCAACCACGCATCGGCAAACACTAGGTGCAAGGAAGAATGGCCCACCCCGGTGTTGTAGTCGAAGATGACGCCCGTGTGAGCAGCGGCATAGAACATGTCAGAAGATTCAGCATCTGAAAGGTTGTGCACACCGCCAACGACGTCCTGACGAAAGCCAATGCACAGGCCCGCTCTCTCTCTCTCTCTCTCTCCCTCTCTCTCTCTCTCTCTCTCTCTCTCTCTCTCTGCATGTCTATCTAGCTTTAGCAAATGTATGTTGGCGGCCTTGTTGATACCTAACGTCCAATGAAGCGTAAGCGCTTGAGGCTCGCTGCTGCTTGACCTCGACTGTGACGAATCGTAAACATGAGCAGCATACAAAGGAATGAAAAACGCATACCATCGGCACAACTTTGGGGGGCAGGCGTGCTGTTTGGCATGAACTTGCTGGGGTCCGTCTCTGTCGCCTCCATCGCGCCTGCCTGTCCGGCGCACGACGACCCTGAATTTTTTTCATGGGTCTGGAAGAGTCTGTCATACCTTCATTCCAGCCTGCCACCGCTTGCTTTGAAGCAGGGGAGCACAAGGGGAAGCAGGTGCAATGGCAGGCCGATATCTAAGCCCCACTGAGCCATAAAAGATATCCGTCAAGCTTATCTACCATCAACGACAGAAAGAGCCGGCCTCGACAAAAGCGATCCAAAGTAAAGAAATGCTTGCGGGTTATCGGTTATCGGATCTCGAAATCTGCTGATGACCCCCAGGCCCCGCTTTCAAGGCAAAATGCCTGCATCGCGCAAGCCTTCGAACCCTCTAGTTTACTCTGCTTCCTACCCTAGTCAAGGGAGTCTAGACCCCTTTTTTCAAATAGGTGGGAGGCATGTTTGCCACCTATTTTTGTTAGAGTCCCCCACTCTGACATTTGTAGGTGGGCCACCTACTTTAAATAGGTGCCGCCAAGAGAACCCCCCCCCAGGACCACCTGTTGTTAGGCAGGGGGTATCATAGACCGAACATCTTGTCAGACACGGTACCGTACCCAAAATATGGTTGGACACAAGACGCTACCAAACGTCAGTACACATGACTATATGGACATTGCCAAACGCATGAGGTATCTTAAATGCTGCCAGGCAATATGCCATCGCACATAATCGAACGAAAATGAAATGAAATATTGCCACATATCCGAAGACACTGTACGATACTACAGCACAGTAGAGCCACTATGGAATATTGCGAGGACTCCAAGTCACTCCATGGTAGTACGATGCTTCGTGCAAATAAAAGCCATACGGTGAGATAACAAATCATTACGCTAGCTAGAAATGAAACACAGCAAACATGTATGTGTCAGCAATGTCTAGTACGAACATGTCTCCAGACATGTTCTGTCTTGCAAGAATGCAGCAACTTTTTCGTCTGCGTTTGCTTGAAGCTGACACACAGTGGCTGAATGTGGCTAAGAGCCTGGTGTCCCTTTCCTTTTCGAAGACTCCGAAACCCCCATGCTTCCCACGGCAGACTTACACTTTCGGAACAGGAGGTGGCCTTGGTGCTCGGTGCCCGTGAGCCTCGGATTTTCCGTGACCAAGTGCAGCGCGAGAGCAGGCCGCACCCCGACCGCAAGGACCCTTGACAAAGTGCCAGCTTGAGAACTACAGATCGCAGCTGAACATGCACCCGATGCATCCCTGCCCAAAGTGATAAGGTCATGAAAGTCGTGGGTCGCGCGGGGGCATTGCAATTGCCGGTTGGCCATTTGGCTCTCAGAAACCCGACGGGTGCGCTCGGTTTCAAGCGTGGCAGGATCCACCGTGGCAAGAGGCAATCGGACTTTCTCCGTAAACGGGAAGACCTCCAAAAGTCCGGAGTTTGGTCAAAAATGCAGACACAGGGCTTTGTGGCAGACTCGAAAATGTTGGCTGCTCCAGACTGCATCGGAACGCCGTGCGCATCTTCCAAGCAAGAGGTGCAGGACTGGAAGAAACGGAGTCTTCTTGCGCAATGCGAGTGACGGTGAAGTATGACATAGGTGAGAAGACTTCGAGCCCAGATTCTCGCCCTCTGAGCTGTCCGACGAAAATAAATCAACACGCTACAAATGAAAAGTAGCAATCAAGTATGTGTCGGCAATGTCAAGTTGCGAACATCTCTCCAAATATGTTCTGTCTTCCAAGAATACGGAACTTTTGTCTGCGTGAAGCTGACACAGAGCCTCGGACGTGCAGCGAGAAAGCAGGAAAGGGCAGGACTCTTGACAAAGTGCCCGTTCGAACTACAAATCTCGGCAGTTGAACATGCGCCTGATGCTTATATCCCGACTGACAAAGACAAACAGTTCCGAAACATGCGAAACCAGATCAACCTGTGCAAAACAAGTGCAAGTGTTTCCAATCCACTGACAAGGAGCCTTTGGGAGGTCACGAAACCAACAAACCTGCATTCCTCTGTCCGTGACACCAACTGAACAGGTCGAAAAAGATGCAAAGTTCGCACGACTGCTCTGGTGCCGCCGCTGTCTCGGCATCCCAATCAAGATCAGCGCCATCCTTCAGAGCTATTTTGTCCAACCGAAAACAAACAACGTTTCGAAACGCCAACTGATGCCTCAAACGAGCACAACCGCTTCAACTCAAAATGTAAGACAATGCAGTTTCCGGTCTCCTCGGCGATTGCTTAGCCCGAAATCTAGGGCTCCAACAGAGTGCAGTCTGGAAGAGATGTGGTCACTCTCCTGCAGTTTCGGGCTGGATTTTGTGTTTTTTTTTTTGTGTTTGTTTCTTTCGAGTGAACTGAGCAGATCGTCATTCCACCCCAGTGTTTCAAGCTTTGCTAAGAAGAAGGAAGCACTCTACCCCTTCTGCTCTCCATTGTTCGACAACAATTTCTTGCAAGACTGATCGCCGTCCGAAAGCACCATCCAAGGGCCCATGCCAAGTGGCATTTAGTGGAGTGTCGGGCATGGTGTGGCTTCTCACGGTGGAATTCGGCTTCTTGCATTCACGTCAGTGCGAAGACTCAGGGGAAGACCTCAGAAAGTATCCTTACAGATTGTCCAGCATCCAAGTATCAGAGTTAGAAAATGACCGTCCAATGATCCACGAAAGTCATCATGTGACAACAAAATCCTTTGAAAGGAGAGGTGGGAATGACGCCCATCTGGTGCTCCGGTTCTTGATTATGAAATCTTCAAAACGATTTCTACTTCTGCAAATCTTAAGAATAGTAAGTCATAGCGGAGAATGCCCTCTCTCTTATATCTGGTTTTCCAAACCGCGTTATGTTACAGTGTAGTCTCTGTCTGTTTCGTTGATAGCGTAAGTCCTTCTTC